AATTGTATAAATTACATTGTTGTTTGGTAAAATAGGTCTTTGACACCACTTCATGTTTTTCATAGTATTATCTGAGAAAAATTACTTCAAAAGGTATTCTTCACAGATTTCTGGTTGAGGTGGCAGAGTAGGTAAACTCTGTGCTTGCATCCTTTCAAGACCCCACCAAAAATTACAACTAAACTGCAGAACAACCATCATTGAGAATTGCTGAAATCTAGCTGAACAGAAGTTCTATAATTAAGGATATACTGAAGAAGCCACGTCAAGACTGCCAGGAGGGGCAACATCAAGTGTACCAACCTCCTCATCATAGAACTAACAGGAGAAGAGAGACAGCAAGGAATTGAAAAACTATTTGAAGAAATGATGGAAAACTTCCCTAACCTGGCAAAGGAAATAGACACACAAAGCACAGAGAGTCCCAAACAAGATGAACTCAAAGAGGCTCACACCAAGACACATCATATTTAAAGGTTAAAGACAAAGATAGAATCTTACATTATTCACAGTGGCCAAGTCATGAAAACAACCAAAATGTCCTTCAAGAGATGATTGGATAAAGAAAATGTACACAATAAAATATTACTTGGCCCAAAGAAAAGATGAAATACTGCTGTTTGTGATTACATGGATGGATGTTGAGATTAGCATACTAGCAAAATGTCAGAAAGGAAAAGTCGAGAACCATATGATTTCACTCATATGGGGGATATAAAACTGAAAGCAATAAACAAACAAGAAGAACAAATAAAAACTCATAGACTCAAACAACAATTTAGTGGTTACCAGAGGATAAGGGGCAAGAGGTGTGGTAGAAAAAGCTAAAGAGGATCAAATATTGGTGATGGAAGGAGAACTGACCCTGGATGGTGAACACACAATGCAATATAGATGATGTTTCATAGAAATGTATGCTTGAAACCTATACAATTTTATTAACCAATGTCACCCCAATAAATTTAATTTTTAAAAAGAGAAAAACANTTGGTTATGCCCACTGGAGGTCTGCTCCCTTAACATCATAACCCATAATTTATGAGATCCTTGTTAGTTTTCTCAATCAAAGACTCAACTCCCATTATAATCCTGAAGTAAAAAATCACAAAAGAGCACATGAACTATTCCTGAACTCACCCTGAAGTTCTCAGGATCCACGTGCAGCTTGTCACAGTGCAGCTCACTCAGCTTAGCAAAGGTGCCCTTGAGGTTGTCCATGTTCTTAATAGCATCTCCAAAGGAAGTCAGCACCTTCTTGCCATGGGCCTTGACCTTGGGGTTACCCATTATGGCCGAGGCAGAGGACAGATTGCCAAAAGTGTCAAAGAACCTCTGGGTCCAGGGGTAGACGACCAGGAGCCTATGAGATGGGACCAAAGGAGGTAGAAAATCAGACTCACAAAAATCTTACAATACTTTCCTAGTCAATTTTCCAGGCTTATATTCACTGTCCTCTCCCATGCATTGAATCCCAGTTCCTACCTGCCCAGGGCCTCGCCTCCAGCCTCTTCCACATTCACTTTGCCCCACACATTAGTGATGGCAGCCTTCTCCTCACCAGTAAAATGCACCATGATGTCAGGTCTGAGAGCTTACGAAGATCACAGAGGTGTCAGAAGCAGGTATGTCTGCTGCTAGAAGGAGTGGCCTTTTATTCTTTACTGCTGATCTTCTGACCATCTTTTCTCCCGAGTACTTGGAAATCATTGGTCAAGGCTGAGCTGTGTCCCTCAGGGGTGGAGTCAGGTCAGGAAAGGGTCAGCAAAGAAGAATGCACTCTGGTTTGTGATAATGTGTTTTATTCCTGAGACATCCTTCCTTTGTTGGTTCCTCCTTCATCCTGAACACAATTTTTTATTCTTTCTGTCTCTTGTCTCCCCAAGTCATTCTCCAGGATGACATCCATCTCTCCCATTCTCCTGCTGCAAAGAAGACCCATAGAGAGGAGCTATGCCTAAGATAGGGAGAAAGTTCTAGTCAAAATAGTTTAATATTTGGGTTAAGGACGGTGACAAGGACAAGAACAGGATCAAAAAAAAATACAGTTGACAGAATCTCAGCCAGTTCTAAGGCCCTCTCTTTTTTAATTTTTTCCCAGCTCTCTTAAGAGTGACTTATAACTAAGCCTCTGGATCTTAGTTTTCTAAAGGACAAAACACATACATGGTTACTTCAGAAAGATGAACAGAGTAGCACAAGAGACATAATAGGACAAATACCTCAATCCCAAAGTAAATGCCTGAGGGTCATTTCACAGAGAGGACTGACAGAATAAACCTGTATCCCATGCTCCTCAGGTACTCTTTTTCTGTCCATTTCTCTGTGACTACAGAGGAAACTGGCTATTTGGGGGAGATTTCCACGGGCTCCCTTCTTGATTTTATGTCCTACTTATACTTCTTACTCCAGCGAGATCACTGAGGAATCTGAAATTATTTAAAACCAGGATTAGTGATCAAACTGAGGAATAAATGAGTCAATGTTAATCAGGCTAGGAGTTGGAGTATGTTTAATGTTTGTTGTAGTCCTAGATGTCAGAAGCTTCAAATTCCTCTACTGTCCTTGTTTTTTATATGCCCCTATTTTCTTTGTGCTTCCCTAAGAATTCATCACAAAATAGATTATGCACCTGTAACATTTTCAGTTGCAATCCGCTGTTATTACACTCAAGTCCTGTTGGTATGGTAGTGAGGAATGGAGGAGGAAAAGCATTCTATAAGTGTATAGTTAAATCTCAATCTTGGTGGACCAGTTTTCTTGAGCTGTGACCTTCACAAATGTTTCTTAGCTTTTCTCCCTTAAGAAAGACAAGAATGACTCCCTGAGCTAGACCATATAGCCTAGGATGACAGGTCTAGGACAAGAAGGAAGATAATTGATCACTGAAGTAAAATAACAATGAATAAACAAGAAACAGTTGGCTACTCAGTGAAGAATAAAATAAAAGTAAATAAAAGTTTGTATGATTGTTTTAATCCATAGAGATAGGGCTCTATGTTTCCCATGAAATTTTTCTGTAGATCTACAGTGTGAGGACATTGGCTTGTCCTTATATCTTGGGTATGAGGATCAGACATTGCCAGATCCCAGGGATTAAGAACCAGGTCTCTCAAGACCAAGAGTTTGGAAAATAAGCCTCTCCCTGAAGTAGGCCCTATGATTATGCCCCATTCTCCCTCCAATTCAGAGTATAGACACCAGTCTTCTTTTGGATTCAGAATATGGGGATGACCCTCCTCCTCTGCCCTCATACCCATGGCAGGGCTCATATCCCTCCCTCTGAAAGTAACCTTGGGGACAAGAGCTGGCTTGCCTCCAGGGATCTGGTCCATCCTTTACTGTCTTATTGCTAAAAGTTGTGGGAAAGGACTTCAAAGAAAGGTTACAGGTTGAAAGGCAGTATAATCTGTAGCTCAGTACGAGGCTTATGAATCTGATTCTGAAGCCAGGTAGGCTGAGTGTGGTCTCATTACAGTTTAGGTGTTTGTTGATTCAACATAAATCATTTCAGCTGTTCATTTTGAAGTATTTTATTTATTTCTCCTGTGGGATTGCAACAATGATTATCATCTTCCCTTTCTGAAAGAAAAACCTAAAGTTTAGAAAGATAAGTGACATGGTTATGCAGGATAGATAAAAAAAGGTTAAATGGTGTGGAAAAATAAACAATAAGAATAGTCATTTATTACTAAAAAAA